ATAGCATAACAGTCTTTAAGGCTCGTGGGTGTTGGAACAAATTCATTCCTTATTTAATAAACAAACAATAAACAAATGACATATCAATCATATCCCTTTTCCTACTAATTATGAATCAGTGACATTTTAATAAACATAAAAAATATACATGAGACGGAATCGAGACCCTCACACCCAGTCTATCACTATTCTCTCCATGATTTTTCCTAGAACATAAGCCAATCATTCCTTCCCTTTCATCTTAACAATTTTCCTCTCTTACACTTCCCTCTGATAAATAAGATCCTTCTCAATCTATTCACTGATACTACCGAGACTGTCCCCTGTGACTACCCCTGTTACTCTATCCACGTACCATTAAAATAACTAAATAACTACATAAGTAACGAATATCTGTTTCCTAAAGACGAGCATTATGGCATGCTGTTCGCGCCACATTCTCCACCATTTCTCCTCTGTTATGTGGAGGAAGGCCAGGTTTCGTCTGATTATCATAGATCAATGCAAAAGAAGTTAACAATTTTGTTAATACACAAATCAAGCATTAAAATCTATTACATGACAGTAAAACATGATTTTAAATACCAGCACTCAGCTTACATGTTATATGGAGGAATGCCAGGACTCGTCTGACAAGAAATCGTTAAAATAACAAACTTATTGCTTTCCCCCAAATTATTGGTAACATTTAAACAAACCGTGAATAAATGATCTACTATTTGTTATAACACTAAATGTTGCTATTTTGATATACCTTTAAATTTATGAATATATAAACAAATGTTTCAATGATGAACGTACATCTTTGAAATCAGAAACAGTGCACTTTTTAAAATGTCGAATAAATAATGATCTCGACATATATATATATATATATATATATATATATATATATATATATATATATATATATATATATATATATATATATATATATATATATATATATATATATATTGTGTGTGTGTGTGTGTGTGTGTGTGTGTGTGTGTGGTGTGTGTAAACACATTATATTGTGTATAACCATGTCAGTCCTTTATTCTTTGTCATAAAACATATTTACTGCTCTTTCTTGCTTGTGACAAAAGTACCTCTTATCATCATCGCTTCTTTTATCGTTATTATCATTACCGCATTAATATTATTGCCAGTTATCTAGATGTAAATATGTGTGAAAATAAAGGGATCAAAATATTTACATATAGTACAATGTAGGATTTATTTACTACGTATTTACAGCTATCAACTGATTCATTTCGACGTAACACTGAAAAAGGAATTTCAACACATAAAAAGCGCATTCAGAAAATAGTATTTCATGGCATGTCATTCACATAGGAAACTCTACCATTGATGATATTTAATCATTAAATTTATGTTTATATTTACATACATCCATATATATAATCATATATATATATATGTATGAAAGATGGAATAATGCACTACCGCAGTGATATGATGAATAGATAACGTATCCTCCCCACCAGGACTGGAAACTGTGTCACTGCAAGTAGGTAATTGCAAGACAGACACATATTAGGTCGTGTAGCTCAGTTGGTATGAGCGTCTGTCTTGCAATTACCTGGCTGCAATGGCAGGAGACGGATATGTATATATAAAATATATATTATATCTATGCACACATATATGCATACATGCATACATACACACATATATACATATGTTTGTCTATATGTACATATTTGAAATGTAACTATATCTATACATGTATATATATATATATATATATATATATATATATATATATATATATGTATATAGATGAATATTTACATTTATATATACATATACATAAGACTACATACCTACATATTCTATTTGACCTTAATGGCCATACCCGTAACCGCCTCCATAGCCTTTGCCATATCCACCGCCTCCATGTCCATAACCTCCGCCGTGGCCATATCCTCCTCCGCCGTGTCCTTTTCCGCCATACCTCCCCGTGTCCGTGTCCGTATCCACCTCCACCGTGTCCGTATCCACCTCCACCGTGTCCGTATCCGCCTCCGCCGTGTCCGTATCCACCTCCGCCGTGTCCGTATCCACCTCCACCGTGTCCGTATCCGCCTCCGCCGTGTCCGTATCCACCTCCACCGTGTCCGTATCCACCTCCGCCATGTCCTTTTCCGTATCCGCCTCCGCCGTGTCCGTATCCACCTCCACCGTGTCCGTATCCACCTCCACCGTGTCCGTATCCACCTCCGCCATATCCTTTTCCGTATCCGCCTCCGCCGTGTCCGTTGTCCGTATCCACCTCCACCGTGTCCGTATCCACCTCCGCCGTGTCCTTTTCCGTATCCAATCACCTCCGCCGTGTCCTTTCCGTATCCACTCCGCCGTGTTCCGTATCACCTCCGCCGTGTCCTTTTCCGTATCCACCTCCGCCGTGTCCTTTTCCGTATCCACCTCCGCCGTGTCCTTTTCCGTACCCACCAGGAGTCGGGTCAGCGAGCGTGGCCGCCAAGATGCAGGCGACAGCCAGCCCGAATATAACCTGGAAATAAAATGAAAGTAAAACAATTAATGGGAAACAAAATGTTCTGTTTTCTTTAGATTTTCCTGATTTATTTCATTTGAATCGACATGTAATATGTTTCCCAGTCTCATTTTTTCTTTTATTTCTTCAGCAACAGACACTGACGCCTTTTCGTTAATGGCTTTCGTCACTTACTGCCTTGGACACCATCGCCTCGCCTGTCTCGAACCGGGTCCTCCGAAGCGAAGAAGTGAATGGGCCTCAGAGACTCCTCGCACGTGTTTTATACTCGATTGTTGCTGAAAAATAATGTTGATGTCACGGGTGTGGTTGGTTACCTGGGCAACAGCCGGTCATTCTTACCTAATGCTCTTCCTAATCAGCCGCGGTCCAGTTGGGATTCTATCACTCGATCATGGCAATATATATATAATATATATATATATATATATATATATATATATATATATATATATATATATATATATATATATGAGTGTGTGTGTGTGCGTATACACACACACACATTTATGTATGTAGATATATTTTCATTTTCATTTTACTACGTTTGGTCGATTTGGTACTTATTCCTTTCAGGTTGTTGCAGTGTTTGATTTTGTTTTTGTGCACACGTGTTCAAATACATATATGTATGGAAGTTTATATGTCTGTATAAATGAATTTATATGCATCTACGTATGTGTACTACTATAAGAATATATGTATGTATGTGTGTATGACAATTTCTAAAGTAGCCTATTCACTTCAAAAGCTAACTATTCTTTACTTGAGAGATGGGTCTATCCATCCACGAGCTGCACATATGTGGCTAACCAGAGAAAAACTAAATGTCTAGCCACTGCCTTTAGCTGATGGTATGACAGCACCTATACCGTGTTCATTATCTGCTAGTGCTTGTGGTATGGTATTTTCAAAATAAATTTTTCATTAAAATTTGGAAGAGTAAACAAACTGAATCCTATTTTCCCTTGGCATATTTTATTTGAAGGTTTCACATCCTGCTAAAGGATTTAATATTCATATCTTCGTTGTAAGATACTTTATTACAGGAGACCTAATAAGTTTCACATCCTACATCATCAACTTTTCTGGTTCTCAAAGCTCGAAGGATATTTTCCACTGAGCAGCATCTTGGAATGCCTTGTTCGCAAATTATTTATTTAATTTTTTATTCGACACGGAGATGAACGTGTGGAAAATGTGGTCTAAAGAACAACATTTTCAGTAGAGTCTCGTTAACATCCTATTATCCATGACCAGATTCATTCCAAGTTGAAGGAACACAAGTGGGGAAGTTTGGTTTCACTGATACTGCCAACGACATACATTTCGATCAGTGAAATAAAAAGTTGGTGAGATGCACACTGCGCTCACTGTGGTTTGCTGAAGTTTTGTTTTATTAAATCAAATTTAGTTCCTGAAAAGTCTTACCATAGATATATGGTATTAGGTTTTTGCATTTATACTTATTTGTACATACATTGTATGTATATGTATATACATATACATAAATAGATATATACAAAAGATGTATTATAAAGGGATAAAGATGTTTTAAAGTGCCCTCAGAGAAAAGCCTTTGAAGACCAAACTGGAAAAATCTGTTGACTGTTTCGAGCAGTGGTTCTCAACCTGTGCGCCGCGAAAGTTTAATGGAAATCTAGGTATGTCTTGAATTTGCGCCTTGCATCACATATACGATAATAAAAACAACAATAATAATAATATTGGTAATAATAATAATAATATTACGTATTATTATTATTATGACCATTATTATTATTATTATTATTACATTATCATTATTCCTATTGTTACTATTACTATTTTTTTTTTTTTTTTTTTTTTTTTTTTTTTTTTTGTAAATGGTGACATCCATCACCCAGGCACCAAAGCGCCTCCGCCTGAGAGACAGCGGTCGCATGAGCAGGACTGCAGGAAGGGTTTGAAAGGTTCCTTTAGGCGCTGTAGAGGCGGCTCTCTTTCCGTCCTCCAGCTGCGAGTTTGTGGCTAATCAAGCAAACTACTTTAGTGAACGTCCATCCATGTCGTCGTGCTACTGATATGATTGTATGTAAGAAAGTAATTTTCTTACAAAGCGATAACCATTGAGATTGTGATAACTACTGTATATAATACAATTTTAACATTGTCTTTATCCTGATCACTGTTGCTATTAGTGCTTCAGGACGTCAGTTTTGCAAAAAGGCAATAAGATACATATATTTTTTTTGTCAATTACCCCGTCAGTTCTTTAGTCTTAGATATATAAGCATCTCTACTGCTCATGTCCACTTATGGCCAAAACAGTTTCTGTACATTTGATCACATTTGGAAAATCTCAATAATTAGTATTACCATGGCTTCTTTAATCGTTATTATCATTCCTTTATTACTGCATTATGTTTATTGCCAGTTACTGCAATGTAAATATGTAAAGTAAAAGATTATATTTGTGAAAAAAGAGGAAGTAAAATAAAAGCATATAGAACGATTTTGGATTCATTTCTACGTAACACCGAAACGAAAAAAAAAAAAGTTCAAAAATGCAATCCACCTCCACCGTCCTTTTCCGCATCCACCTCCGCCGCGTCCTTTTCCGTATCCACCTCCGCCGCGTCCTTTTCGTATTTCCGAATCCACCTCCGCCGTCCTTTTCCGTATCACCTCCGCCGTGTATCCACCTCCGCGCCGTGTCCTTTTCCGTATCCACCTCCGCCGCGTCCTTTTCCGTATCCACCTCCGCGCGTCCTTTTCCCACCTCCGCCGTGTCCTTTTCCATATCCACTTCCTTTCCGATCCAATGTCCTTTTCCGCATCCACTTCCGCCGTGTCTTTTTCCGTATCCACCTCCGCCGCGTCCTTTTCCGTATCCACCTCCGCCGTGTCCTTTTCCGTATCCACCTCCGCCGTGTCCTTTTCCATATCCACCTCCGCCGTGTCCTTTTCCGTATCCACCTCCGCCGCGTCCTTTTCCATATCCACCTCCGCCGCGTCCTTTTCCATATCCAGTCCTTTTCCCACCTCCGCCGTATCCACCTCCGCCGTGTCCTTTTCCGTATCCACCTCCGCCGTGTCCTTTTCCCACCTCCGCCGCGTCCTTTTCCATATCCACCTCCGCCGTGTCCTTTTCCATATCCACCTCCGCCGTGTCCTTTTCCGTATCCACCTCCGCCGTGTCCTTTTCCATATCCACCTCCGCCGTGTCCTTTTCCATATCCACCTCCGCGTGTCCTTTCCGTATCCTCCGCCGCGTCCTTTTCCATATCCACCTCCGCCGTGTCCTTTTCCATATCCACCTCCGCCGCGTCCTTTTCCGTATCCACCTCCGTGTCCATATCCACCTCCGCCGCGTCCTTTTCCCATATCCACCTCCGCCGTGTCCTTTTCCATATCCACCTCCGCCAGCCTCCGCCGCGTCCTTTTCCATATCCACGCCGCCGCGTCCTTTTCCGTATCCACCTCCGCCGGGCCGCCGCGTCCTTTTCCATATCCACCTCCGTCGTGTCCTGACCTTTGCGCCGTGTCCTTTTCCATATCCACCTCCGTCGTGTCCTTTTCCGTATCCACCTCATCCGTGTCCATGTCCGCCGTGTCCTTTTCCGTATCCACCTCCGCCGTTCCTTTTCCGTATCCACCTCGCCGTGTCCGCCGTGTCCTTTTCCGTATCCACCTATATCACACCTCCGCGTGTCCTTTTCCGTATCCACCTCCGCCGTGTCCTTTTCCATATCCACCTCCGTCGTGTCCTTTCCCACCTGTCCTTTCCGTATCCACCCCGCCGTGTCCTTTTCCGTATCCACCTCCGTCGTGTCCTTTTCCATATCCAATCCACTTTTCCTCGCGCCGCCGTGTCCTTTTCCATATCCACCTCCGTCGTGTCCTTTCCATATCCACCTCCGCCGCGTCCTTTTCCGTATCCACCTCCGCCGTGTCCTTTTCCGTATTCCGTCGTGTCCTTTTCCATATCCACCTCCGCCGTGTCCTTTTCCGTATCCAGCCGTGTCCTTTTCCGTATCCACCTCCGTCGTGCCGTGTCCATATCCACTCCGTGTCCTTTTCCATATCCACCGCACATCCGTTTCCATTATCCACCTCCGTCGTGCCTTTTCCATATCCACCTCCGCCGTGTCCTTTTCCGCATCCACTTCCGCCGTGTCTTTTTCCGTATCCACCTCCGCCGCGTCCTTTTCCGTATCCACCTTTCCTCCCCTCCGCCCGGTGTCCCGTATCCACCTCCGCCGTGTCCTTTTCCATATCCACCTCCGCCGTGTCCTTTTCCGTATCTACCTCCGCCGCGTCCTTTTCCATATCCACCTCCGCCGTGTCCTTTTCCATATCCACCTCCGCCGCGTCCTTTCCATATCCACCTCCGCCGTGTCCTTTTCCATATCCACCCCGCCGTGTCCTTTTCCGTATCCACCTCCGCCGTGTCCTTTTCCGTATCTACTCCGCCGCGTCCTTTTCCGCGCCGTGTGCCACCTCCGCCGTGTCCTTTTCCATATCCAACCTCCGCATCCGTATTTCGCGTTTCCATATCCACCTCCGCCGTGTCCTTTTCCATATCCACCTGTCTTTTCCGTATCCACCCCGCCGTGTCCTTTTCCATATCCACCTCCGCCGTGTCCTTTTCCGCCGTGTCCTTTTCCATATCCACCTCCGCCGTGTCCTTTTCCATATCCACCTTCCTTTCCATATCCACCTCCGCCGTGTCCTTTTCCGTATCCACCTCCGCCGCGTCCTTTTCCGTATCCATCCGTACCTCCGCCGGTCCTTTTCCATATCCACCTCCGCGTGTCCTTTTCCATATCCACCTCCGCCGTGTCCTTTTCCATATCCACCTCCGCCGTGTCCTTTTCCTCCACCCCGCCGTGTCCTTTTCCTATCCACCTCCGTCGTCCTTTTCCGTATCCACCCATCCTCCGTATGCACCTCCGCCGTGTCCTTTTCCGTATCCATTCCGTATCCATCCGCCGTCGTGTCCTTTTCCGTATCCACCTCCGCCGTGTCCCGTATCCACCTCCGCCGTGTCCTTTCCGTATCCACCTCCGCCGTGTCCTTTTCCGTATCCACCTCCGCGTGTCCTTTTCCGTATCACCTCCGCCGTGTCTTTTCCGTATCCACCTCCGCCGTGTCCTTTCCGTATCCACCTCCGCCGTGTCCTTTTCCGTATCCACCTCCGCCGTGTCCTTTTCCATATCCACCTCCGCCGTGTCCTTTTCCGTATCCACCTCCGCCGTGTCCTTTTCCGTATCCACCTCCGCCGTGTCCTTTTCCGTATCCACCTCCGCCGTCCTTTTCCATATCCCTCCGCCGTGTCCTTTTCCATATCCACCTCCGTCGTGTCCTTTCCGTATCCACCTCCGCCGTGTCCTTTTCCGTATCCACCCGCGTCGTGTCCTTTCCATATCCACCTCCGCCGTGATCCGTATCACCTCCGCCGTGTCCTTTTCCGTATCCACCTCCACCGTGTCCGTATCCACCTCCGCCGTGTCCTTTTCCGTATCCACCTCCGCCGTGTCCTTTTCCGTATCCACCTCCGCCGTGTCCTTTTCCATATCCACCTCCGCCGTGTCCTTTTCCGTATCACCTCCGCCGTGTCCTTTTCCGTATCCACCTCCGCCGTCCTTTCCGTATCCACCTCCGCCGTGTCCTTTTCCGTACCCACCAGGAGTCGGGTCAGCGACAGCCAGCCCGAATATAACCTGAAAATAGAATGAAAGTAAAACAGTTCATTTGAAGCAGAAAATGACTTTTTTGAATTCTGTTTTCTTTTTATTTTTCTGATTAGTTTCATTTGAATCGACATGTAATAATATGTTTTCCAGTCTCTTTTTTTTCTTTTATTTCTTCAGCAACAGACACTGACGCCTTTTCGTTAATGGCTTTCGTCACTTACTGCCTTGGACACCATCGCCTCGCCTGTCTCGAACCGGGTCCTCGGAAGCGAAGCAGTGAATGAGACTCCTTGTACAGGTTTTCGATTGTTGCTGAAAAGTAAAGTTGGTATCAAGGTTTGGTTGGTTACCTGGGCAACGGCCGGTCATTCTTATCTAATTGGATTCTCTCCCTAATCAACCGCCGTTCAGGTAGGATTCAGGCTCTCGACCATGGCACTGGGAAATTAATGTTTGCTGTGGAACTCTCGATGAATCCTTATTGTGGCAGTGTTTCTTTTTGGGTACTCGTCTTATATATATATATATATATATATATATATATATATATATATATATATATATATATATATATATATTATATATATATATATATATATATATATATATATATATATATATATATATATATATATATACATATATAATTTTGGTCCCATTAGGATTATCTGTGTGTGTATTATTGTGAGAATGTATGGAATATATATGAATAGTGCTATGATAGTAACGGAACATAATTATAATATCGAATATACGTATCTTTTCAAACAGCTTTATTCACTTTAGGAGAAACCTCACTACGCTTACCTATGAATATGATTTTCTTTCCATTCTCAAACAGTAAGTTTATGGATAAAAATGAATGTCCAACCACTGCCTTATGATGAGGCATGCTCTTAATTCTTTGCATACGAGATTTCCTAGTAAAAGATGGACAAGTGAATAGACTGAATCCAATTTTCCCTCGGCCTGTCAAAATATATGACAGTATTCTGTCTACATAGTTAGATAATTAATATAACACCTTATATGCAGTCTCCCTAATCAAAACACAAAAGATTTGTCCACGGAGCAAAACTTGGGCAGCCTTGTTCGCTATTCATTTCTAGTTCAATTGTCTCAGACACAAACGTCTGAAAACTTTTGTCAAATGTTTGTTATCCCTGTCCAGAAATTTTAGTTGTTGCGGGAAATGCATATATATATATTTTCTTTTGTCGCTAATCATGCCAGTTCTTTGTTCTGAGTCATATAAAACATCTATTTTGCTCTTGTCCACTTATAACGAAAGCAATTTTTATACTGTTGATCATATTTGGAAAATCATTATCAGAAGTATTATTTTGATTTCATTGGTCGTTCTATCACTGCATTATTATTGCATTATGATTATTACCAATTACTTCAATGTAAATATTAACAACAAGAGAATATATTGGTGAAAGTAAAGGAATGAAAATAAGTGCACAAAGTACGATTTCGGATTTATTTACTGCGTATTTACAGCTACCAACTGGCTCATTTCGACGTAACACTGGAGAGAAAAGGGAAATTTCATCAATTAAAAAGTGCAATCAGAAAACAGTATATCAGGTCATGTCATTCACAAAGAAAACTAAAACATATACGTGTCCGTATATATACATACATATATGTATATATATGTGTGTGTATGGATAGATAGATGTATATGAGTATGTATATATAATAAATATATTACATGTAATACACACACACGTACACAGACACACACACACACACACACACACACACACACACCACACACACACACACACACACA